GATTGGAGCTATCTGACCCTCAAAATATCTGCAAATGTCAATCAGTATTAGTAAGAGTATGACCACACCTAATTAAGAGTACAAAGTCCAAATTTTCAAGCACAAAATATAACATTGATATAAGTAACTTATGAGATAACATGATTACAAACTTGTATGCACATTCCATGAATTTACCTGGTCAAGAGTTCAACTGCAGCAGAACCATATCCCATCTACAAAGAGGGTAATCAGAAGCTTGTTAATCGAACACAAAACCTAATTGGACTATTAAAATATGAGCAGAGCAAAATATTACCTTCATGGCGTTAGGGTGGACTGCTATGCGAACTATCCGAGCACCAGAGAAACCTGGAAATTCAGTGTCCCGGAATTGTTCACAGAATTTCCATGGAATTTGGTCTCCATATGGTGAATGGCCATCCCTTAAACTTTGAAGGGCTGAGTTCTCAGATATCTTTCCTTCAAGACAGACCTGAATATAACAGTTACAATGATGCTTAAAATCACACACCTAAATAAGGACACAAGCTAAAGAAACTATGATTTTCCACAAAATGTGGAAACAAGCAGTTACAACAGATTGAGAGCTAATACTTTAATCTTTGTAAGTCCATTTTCATGAAGACTGATGAATCACTGTTCAAGGTCAATGTGAACCTAAAATCAAACTATAACTGTTTTCAACAGATCAAACAAGTTTGTGATCAATTTCACACAGCAAAAATATATACCTGGATAACACAGAGTATATCAGGAATCTTGTTTTGGGACTCATCAACAGGACCTGTGTTTAAAAGCAGTTAGGAATAGCTCTGAAAATTAAATTAGGTGAGGGGAAAGTAAAAGTTGCATACCAAGTAACACAAACAAATGATGAGCAGGAGCATCAGCCAGCAGTTGAAGATCATTAGGAGAATTCTTGTAGTGAGACGAGACACATAGCGCCATCATTCTCTGTAGGATGCACTTATATCAGTCTATTGTCAAAATAATAAACGGATCCCAATCAAACACATTTACCTGTAGAAACAATTCACTATCTTTGTGATAAGAAAAGAGTGTGTCTCGGTTGACATAATAGAGATCACACTGACTTGGCGAAGGATGGCTACACAAAAAGAAGAAAGAAAAGACAAATAAATTTATAAAAAAAAAAAAAACCATTTCTAGACGATCAGTAACACTAGAAAGGATAGTAGACACTATAAAAATATAGTTCAAAATTCATACCACGCAGGATTAGGCAGACAAGTAGCAACATCAAGGCAAAGTAGGCCATTAAGCCAGGATTCTATTGGATCTCCAGAACCGTATCTAATAGACTCATTAAGTTCTATCTTCTTGAAAAGACAACCTGTCAGAAAGAAAATTGAGAGAGTCAGGGGAATGAATCACATCAAATAGAACTGCCACAAAATGCAGGTCCTGCAAATATAATTAGCGTTGCTACATATGAAGAATTCATCAGATACACTAGTAAAGCGAGATACGTTGCTTGGAATTTAGATTAATCTTTGTAAGCCTCTTTAAGGGAAAAAATGAAAACGAAGCTCATATTCTTCAAAAACAACATTCACATATATTCCTCAAAACTACGATAACTAGCCTCCAAATGACTATGCTACCTAAATCATATGATTGATATAACAGCTGAACACATGAAATGGAACATTTAAACCAAAGGCTGGAAGCACTATACTTGACCTTCCTAAACAATAAATAGGGGTATCTGAGCGATGATTCTAAGAAAAATGAGTCTATCCTCTTATGGATGATAGAGCGGTCTCTAAAAAATGTCCCTAATAATTTTCATAGCCAAGAATGAAAGCAAGGTGCAGCAGTTACATACCAGAAAGAGAGCCTTCAAGACCAGTAGCAGGAGCCCGGCTTTGCTCATCTAATTGTTGGAGGAGTTTCAGGGACAAAGATCTCCCAGTGCCTTCATAGCTTTAAAAATAAAATTGAAAAGGGGTAAAATTCAGTAGCATGATTATCCCTGAATTAAAACTAGATAAGATCCTGTTTCACATACCCACTGACAGTTGACGATAGGAAAACTAGATAAGGACCAAGCAAAGACTTCACAACTGGCAAAGGAATAGCTGCCGCTTCATCAATAACCAACAGCTCTACTTGTGAGAGCTTCTCATGCTCGTGTGGTTGTATATACTGCATAAAAAATATCAGGAGCATGGAAAACGTCAGAGATGGACTCAAATCACAGCTTGAAGATCATGAATTAATTAAGGGATTAACAAACCTGGATAGTTTGTCTATGCTGCTTGAAGATATTTATCCGTACAATAGCTTTTTTGAAGTCAGGATTCGCACTTTTCACAACATCATAATCAAGATGCTCCTATAAAAATAATAGTGGAAGGTATTTTAGAACCATATATGACCACATCGCAAAATAGAATAATGATTTCTTCTATCCTCGAGCTAGTGTAGGTCTATTCAATAATTATCTCAATAACTATGCATATGTCTCTAACCTTGCAGGCTCTTTTCAATGAAATAGAACAAATACCATATAAAAATAATCTGTATGAAAAGAACTTTGCATTACCTTATATTCAAGTGCATCAAAGCCTTTGCAAACAAACTCAAAGAATGTCTTCAAGTTATCCGGGCTTGGTGCAGTTATGTAAATATTTGAGTACCTAAGAGCAAGTACATCAGGCATCAATAATTTTCACAAACATCCAGAAAAATCAATACTGATGAGTAGAGGAACATATAGTTAAACTAATTCAAGAAATCTACCCAGCAGCAACAGCCCCGGAAACAGCTAAACCAAGTGCAGCAGATTTTCCACGCCCTCGACTTGCAATCAAAGCAACTATGCTGCGGAGAGCCTTATCCAAAATTGCATCAAAAAATGTGACTACAGCTTTACCCTACAAAATGAAAATGCAGAATTTCCATTAGTATCAGCCATGCAACAAGAAAGAACATTAGGAAGACATAAAATTTATAGCTTTGAACCTGATCCAATGTACAGCATTTCTTGATTAACGGACCAACAGGAAAATCATCACTTAGTTCTTCTTTCAAACTCTTCAGATCCCGCTCTGCCTCAGAGAGCCCCTCGGAATCCTTTAGTAGCACACAACATTGTAAAGTTATCAATTCTATCGGGAATTTGGAAAACATTCTCTCAATTTGCTATAAGAATTACCTTTTCTGTTGGAACTTGAGTGATAGATCTGATATGCGAGGAAAGCGGCAATATATTCAACTCATCATCCATGACAACACATGCTTTGCACGATGCAAGTGATAGCAGAAAACGCTCATTGAAACGGCCAGCAGCCTCAGAATGTGATTCAGTTCGGAATCTGTCATGGACATCCTAATAAGAAAAATCATGAAACAGCACACTTAAATAATGCTTTTCTCTCACTTTCTCAAAAATAAGGAATTAAAGTATGGAACCGTGGTTCATACCATAACCATAGTGCATAGACTAGTAAGTGATGTAAGAGATCGTAATATTAATACAACCAAACCACCACCTTCCACAGTCTCTATTGTCCTTGCTAGTAGATTTGGAGTTAAAGCTTCAAAATCCTGAATTTATCAAGAAGAAGTAGTAACTATTACTCACAGGGACATGTGACAGTCATCTTAAATGAATATTAAGAAGAAGAAAAAGTACCTGTAAGATGCACATGCCAAAAGTATTTCCAAGAATTCGTTCAGAATCTTTGTACAAGCAATGAGTGACTCTTCCGACATCAAGCAAACGCGAGAAAGCGTCAAGTTTCTCTGGATCCAACTGTCCTCTCTCCCTCAATCTCTTCAACTGCTTCGAACGTTTTTGCTTATGACTGCAAACAAAAAGATGAATGCAAAGCTCTCACTGGAAAATTCTACTATTGATATAATAACAATACAAAGTTATCAACTTTAATGACTAAGGACCATCAAATTCGCATTCCATTCTACATTTGTTGTGCTCAACTCAATACTAAATGTCCTCACAACTCTCCAGAGGGAGGCTAAAAACAAATTTCCCATATAAAGGTTAACTAGATTTGAGCTAAAAAAAAAGAATCATCTAAAGCCTTGAGAGTTTGGGATAAAGAACAGAACCTGCTAATGTCAAGTTTGTCCTTGTAGCACCACAAGACACTGGGATTACACTTAATAACTGCCTTAGACAACATATGATGGAGGTTCACTATCTGTTAGAGAAGAAATACACAAAAAAAAAAGTTGTAGATTTAGTATCCAACAACACATTCTCTCAGGGAGATAAGTGTCCAAGTAGAAAACTTTCGAGTAGAGAAACAGCAAACCTGGTCACGAGATTTGTCACCAATGATTACAAACATGGAACGGTGTCTCAATTTGACACCGTTTTCAATCAGAGTCCGGATACGTTCATCAACCTTCTTCCTCATTCTTGCAAAACTAGCTCTTCTTCTTCCTCCTCCTTAATCTTCTTAACACACTCAAAAACCCAATTCAATAACAAAATCTGGGTTCTGCTTTCGAATGTTGATTAAAAATCGCAACTGCTGAAATCAATTTTCGTTTAAAACTGAATTTTATGAACAACAAGAAAACTAGGGAAGAAGGACCAGAACGGAGCTTTTAGGGTTTTCTAAATTGTTGAGTAGGGTTTAGGACCGAAGGAGAAATTATGATTTATCTGCTTTGACCTTTTTGTCCTTCTTACTCAAAGAATCATAACCGAGCACTAGACCGAAATGGTTTAATCATATAGAATCGCGTTCAATAAAGGGGTTATAATACCAAAAAAAATATATATATATATATATATATATTATAATGGGCATAACTCGTAAGCCCAAAGAGTTCAGGAAAAGAAGAAGCCCGGGAAGAACTATATATGTTTGAAATCTCTTTTGATCAAAACGCGATGATTTCGGTTAATTTGCCAAGGACAAGGTTCACATATGAGTCTATGTCTCTCTCTCTTTTTGTGACAAAATCCTTTGTTGAATGTTTTGAAAACAAGTTCGAAGAGATTGAAACTTCACTTTATATAGCTGATGAAGTGGAATTACAAAAATGTGATGATTTTGACGATGGAGCTCATCTCCCAGTCCCAGACCAAATCTCAATATATATAACAGACATATAGAATATTATTAGTATATAGATAGAGAGAGACTAGAGAGATAAACCAAAGTAAAACTTAGTTAGACCCTTTGGAACCTCTAGACGACCGCTTTTCTAGCACATTCATAACGGTAGTGTAATATTAGGAGCTAGAAAAAGACAAAATAAGTGATAAAAAAAAAAAAAGGAACAAACAAAAAGCCAAAGACATTGTAAACACATGCTTTGGATTGTGAGTGGTGAGATCGTCGTCCTCCCACAACAATTGCAATCGCATCCTTTTTAGAGGACCCAGCTGTTTTAAAAGATAAAGAATAAGAAGCTGTCAATAAATCCAATTGTCGCAGACGATATATAGGAAATCTAGACTAATAAATAATAAAATGACATATAAAACAAGAAGAAAATCTCACCTTTTTTGTGTGAACGCATCAGTAATTCCTGGAATTGTTGAACAGAATGCTGGAGTAGCAACTTGACCCTCGAATGGTGTCTGGTAGCTGCACGACAAAGCACTTGTTGTAATTAAATAGAACCATCGGAAAAAAAAAAAAAAAAACAAGAGAAGGTTTTGGTCGTAGTACCTTCTATGTCGTTTTCTCGGACATATTTTTTAGCTTTCTATGTCAGCCTGCTCCAGGTAAGCTTGCCTATCTCGTTCCAAGTTCTCAATATATTCTTGAGACCAACAAATAATGTAAGCTCAAGATGAGTATTGGTTTGAATACAATAACAATTTTTAAAGAACGTACGGTAGATTGTAAATAAATTAAATCTCTTGAGAGAGATTCCAAACATGATTTTTTGTGAAATTGAAGACATATATAAAAACGGATGGATGATGATACCTTGTTTACTGCGTCTATTGCTTTACGGACATAATAAAGCCCTCTATATCGTCTATATCTTCGGGTTAGCCAGGTCAGGATCATTGTATATTCTCCTCCTCTTCCAATATCACAAACAATCGAATTTCAAAAACTTTAGCCCTTAATCGATCAAAGAAAATAATCGCAGCAATACACGTAAACTTGGATTCTTAATCTAAAACAACAGAGTAGGGTAAGATTCCAAGCTTCTTCTACAAAAGAAGAAATAGGGGTTTCTCAATGTGCCTAGAGTCCATGCAATATATACAAAATAAAGTGAAGTCTAATGGGCCAAAGCCCAGAAATTAAAGGAAAAGGAAAAGCCCGTGGAAGTGTTTGAAATCTTTGGATGAAACGCGGCTATTAGCTGTCTCTTATCCAACCCAACGAGTGAGAGAGTAAGTTCGAAAACGAGTAGAATGTGAAAGCACGCGCCAAAATGGGGGCGCGTGGGTGAAATCCGTATCCATCTTCAACGGGCTTTAAGATCCATTTGAGTCAGTCAGTGATGGTGAGAAGAAAAAGCGTCATTCTTACGTTTTTTTTTTTTTATAAGTATATAGTTTCACTCACAGACAGAAGCTAAGAAAAAAAGAGAAGCCTTTTGAAAGCAATCAACTTTAATCTTTTCAACGACAATTTCAACCAACACTAGTACTAAGTTGTTGCTCTTTCTCTTCCTTCCTCCTTGTTCTTCTCTTAGATCTCTTCCTTTTTACTTGAGTCTTATCCTTTGGATTTTTATTCGATTCGATTTCCTCTGTTTTGGTTTTATCAGTTTTCTTTTAGAATCTCTCTGATCTGGCTTTTCCTCTTCTACTAACCTTTGTTGTAGAAACTTGTGAGTTAGATCGATTCAAAACCCAAACATAAAATTTGTAAAAAGAGAAACCCTTTATAGGTTTTTTGGGGGTTTTGTCTCCTCAGTCTGACCAATGGGTTCACAGGTCAGTCTCTCTGTTTTTTCGTTGGTGATAAAATCCTGTTTTTGAAGAGATTGCAAGGAACCTAGGGCTTGTTTTCCTGTTTAGACTGTTCATGCAATTAGTTTTCGTGGAAGATCATTGGTTGAGCTTGCTTGTAGCTTAGTTCGTGGTTTCTATTGAGCTTTAAAGGATAGGTTTTGAAGAGATCAAGTTGTTTAATGTCTAGTGTGACTCAAGTGTTGCTTATATGTTTCCTTTTTTCAGACCTTTTTGGAAACAAATTGTATTTGGATCTTGTCAAATAAGCTGCTCAATGCACTACTTCTAATGCATGAAAAAAATGGAATCTTGCTCTCGTGTTTATTTTATGATTGCGCTTGTGTTGATCCGAAATGGAGTGTCTTCCTGTGGAATGATCCCCAATTTTGTGCATACCGAAAAAATGACATCGCTTTCAAATTTTTAGTCTCCTAACTTTAGCATTCTTCAACAGATTTCTTCATTGTTTGAGTTTAGTTCTCCTCCTTCATTCTGTTGTTGTGAGGTATCTTTATCTCGATGAGTTACTGCTGGTAATCAAAAAGCATCCTTTTCAACTTGCAGGTTTCTTGTGTAGTTGCTTGAGGCTTTTGGTTTGCTGGAGTTGAATAGAGTTATGAGAAGAGGTAGAGGAAAAGGCAAGAGGCAGAATGCTACTGCTAGAGAAGATCGAGGGAGCGGTGAAGAAGAAAAGATTCCAGCGTTTAGGAGAAGAGGGAGGCCACAGAAGCCGGTGAAAGATGAAATCGAAGAAGAAGAAGTAGAGCTAGTGAAGAAGACAGAAGAGGAAGAAGACAAGGATGATGATACAAATGGTTCTGTAACAAGTAAAGAAGATGTGACAGCGAATGGGAGGAAGAGGAAGAAACCAGTAGAGTCTAAAGAGAGCAACCTAACTGAAGAAGAGAATGGGGTAGGATCAAAATCAAGCACAGAAGATTCGATGAAATCATCATCGTCTATTGGGTTTAGGCAGAATGGGAGCAGAAGGAAGAACAAACCAAGACGAGCTGCTGAAGCTGTTGTTGAATGTAATGGGGTTTGAAGAGAGGTTCTTAAAACGCTTCTGAAACCGCCTTTTTGGTGTTTTTTTTTTGTGTTGTTGGATACTTTTGCTGTTAGAAACCCGAGTTTGATGCGGGTGCGTTTTAGTTTCATTACATGGAATCAGAATTTCTATTTTTCGGATATTGCTCTTCTCTCTTAGTTTTCATGGCGTTCTGAAACTCATTCTCTCTTTTGAACAAAGTGGAGCCTAAAAACGGCCTATGAAAAAATGCAACAGTCATAAGTTGTGAAAAGCGAAAAAGAAAAAGGTTCATAGTAGGAAGAAATATCAAGAAGATTTGTGAAGCTAGTCAAGCCAGATTAGTGGGGGCTTTAGGCTTTTTTCAGGTTGTATTTTTGTAGAATTTTGGAAATCCAAACAAAGGAACTTATTAGATACTAAGATAAAGCAAAAAGTAAAAGGAATAATATCAAACTGATACACACAACCCTATGAAAAATTCAAGTACACAATTTCTGATGGATACATGACCGTGAAAATCGAACTTCCCATACTCTCTTTTTGCATAAATATTTTTTCAATTATCAAGAAAGATATTGCATTGGATATGGTGAGAAGAAGAAGAACAAATCTATTTGCTTCCTAAAAGAAAAAGAAACATTTTAAAGTATTTTTGGAAAAAAATAATAGAACTGAATTCAAAAAGTGTTCAATAACCTTCTAGTTCCTTTGAAGAGTCACATCCTTTAGTTGAGTTCCAACACTCTGGTCTCTCTGCCCATAATCCTTAATTCTATCTATTTTAGTATTTTAAAAAATACCAATAAAGTTGTTGTTTCTCTTTAATTAGAAATAATATACAATAGTTAGTTAAATAGCCATCCATTTATAGGTCTGTGATGTATTCATATTTTTACAAACTACAATAAAGATCAATAGTTTTGTGATTTTAACATCATTAGACTATTTAGTATATAATAATTAGAATATATTAGCTATAGATTTTACATGGGAGTTATGTTCCCTGGTCTGGTCTCGTTTAAGGATATCATTTTGTACGTTAAAGAAGAAAAGAAGAAAATATCCTTATCCCTTTCGTGTTTATTTGTTCATTACAAAAACCACCAAAACGCACCCACCAACATCCCAAAACGCAAACGCTAAAACACGTAGCTGTCGTGGACTAGTGTCAATCACTCTTGAGTGTCTCTTCTTTTGTCAGCTTCTCTCTCTTTCTTTCTTTCTTTCTCTCTTTCTTCTCTCTGATCTTTTAATAAAAGATAGCAACATCTAAAATAAGCAAAACCACATTTTCGTTCCTCTCTTCTCCTCTGTCCTTTCTATTTCAAAAGAGAGATGAGCAGAAGCATATCTTTCACTGTCTGAGTAAGAGGAAACCAAACCATAATGGAGTTGTTAATGGGCTCGGGTCAGGCAGAGTCGGGTGGTTCTTCTTCCACAGAGTCTTCTTCACTCAGTGGTGGACTCAGGTTTGGTCAGAAGATCTACTTCGAGGATGGATCCGGATCCGGAAGCAAGAACCGGGTCAATACGGGTCGTAAGTCGACAATGACGGCGAGGTGCCAAGTGGAAGGTTGTAGAATGGATCTAAGCAATGTAAAAGCTTATTACTCAAGACACAAAGTTTGTTGCATTCACTCTAAATCATCTAAAGTCATTGTCTCTGGTCTTCATCAAAGGTTTTGCCAACAATGTAGCAGGTTTCACCCATTTTTTGTCTTCTTCTTTTATTTACTCATTTTGCCATTTCCGGTTATTGGAATAGTTCTAAGGGAACCATTGCTTTAAGCTTTTTTTCAGGTTTTATGTCACTTTTGAGCTTTTTGGGGTTTTGGCTCTTAACGTAATTGAAGAGTCTTGTTAAAACTTTACAGCTAGTTATTATGTGGTCTTGTCTCTTGTCTTATGCATTATTTATGTTGCTTTTCGTTGAAGCTTTCTTTTCTTTATATCAAATCAGGTTTCACCAGCTTTCTGAGTTTGACTTAGAGAAAAGAAGTTGTCGCAGACGACTCGCTTGTCATAACGAACGTCGAAGAAAGCCACAACCCACAACGGCTCTTTTCACTTCTCGTTACACTCGAATCGCTCCATCTCTTTACGGTTAGATCCCATTTTATACAGCATTTTTCAGCTCAATGTGTATCAAAATTAAGTTACTGAATTTCTTGTGTCAGGAAACCCCAATGCTGCAATGATTAAAAGCGTTTTGGGAGATCCTACGGCGTGGTCAACCGCAAGATCAGTGATGCGGCGGTCTGGACCGTGGCAGATTAACCCGGAAAGGGAAAGCCATCAAATTATGAACGTTTTATCACATGGAAGCTCAAGCTTTACTACATGTCCAGAGATCACAAACAACAATAGCACAGATTCAAGCTGTGCTCTCTCTCTTCTGTCAAACTCAAACCCAATTCAACAGCAGCAACTTCAGACACCAACAAATTTGTGGCGACCATCTTCTGGTTTCGACTCAATGATCTCATTCTCTGATAGGGTTACAATGGCTCAGCCACCGCCCATTTCAACCCATCATCAATACCTCAGCCAAACTTGGGACGTCATGGCGGGCGGAAAGAGCAATTCACATTATATGTCTCCTGTGAGTCAAATCTCTGAGCCAGCTGAGTTCCAGATAAGCAATGGCACCACAATGGGCGGATTTGAGCTGTCTCTTCATCAGCAGGTTCTGAGGCAATACATGGAACCCGAGAACACAAGAGCTTATGACTCTTCTCCTCAACATTTCAATTGGTCTCTTTGAGTCTAATCTCTTTCACCTTTTATGATCTTCATCAGCAGGTTGCTACTAAGATCTTATCAATTATCTGATGTATGCTACTTAAAACCAGGCAATTATCTGTTATTTTAATGGCTTTTGATCTTTTTAAGAATTTTGGTTTTATTGACGATCTCTTTGATTAGTTTACAATTTGACATCGAACAGAAATGCAGGTTTACATGAATTTGAGATCAAATTGAAACATCAACATCATAATCAATATATTGTTTTATCAAATCAGAGTTCCACATGCTTTAATCATCCTACTATCTATCAAAAGCATGAGTACTATGGGAATTAGCAAGTCCTTAAAATTTTCTAAAGTGTGTACCTCACCCGCAAACACAGTCTTTCTTCGGTATCTTGCTTCCTCTTCAGCAACATCAGGAAATTTTCAACCTGAAGCTTCTGCAGACATTGTGTTTGTGTGCTTCCATACTACTGTGACTTATCTAGTGATCATCCTCATTTACGCCAGGACAATTGGATAGAAGGGCTTCAGTCGTTTCATACTGATTCACATACCGTGAAATTTCATGTTAGTATACTTACACAAACTAAACATTTACCGTTGAGAAAAAACACCGATAAAAGAAGTTTTGAACGCATTCAGTTACCTGGAACCCGCAGAAAGGGCAATACCGATGTTCATCTCTCAGTTTCATTAATATTTCTTGCAAATCCTGCAACCAATAAAACTAAAATTGTCAACCTAAAGAATAATGCAATGCCGACTCTCGAATTCATAACTGATAGCCTTGAACTCTACTCAATCAGTCTCATTACTCATAAAGATGAAAGACACCAGAAAGACCAAAAGTCCCAACTCTTGTTTTCTAAGAGAACATACCTCTTCAGTGATCTCCTCTTCTTCTTCCTCTTCTTCATCAGGCTTACCATCTTCATCTTCCTCGTTCTTCTTCTCCGGAACAACTTCAACGTTCTCAAGTTGATCAAGAGCCGCCTTAGCCTTCCTAAAGTTAATCAAAAATCTCTTCTTACGCCATTGAGACTTCTGTCTAGACCCAAAATCCTCCAACATCTCCTCCACCTTTCTCTTCTCAATCTCAGCCTCAATCTCCTCTTTTTTCTTCTTCTCTTTATGTGGATCCTCTCTTCCCACACCGGCCCTCGATCTTCGAATATCCATAGTCACAGGCTCAGCTCTACCAGAGCCTTCTTTACCAAGAGCAGAACCTGGCTTGTAACCCATTTGCTTCAATAGCTTAAACCCTACGTTAGACTCTCCAATAGGAGTGTCTACAATACGAGCCAATGTCTGCTCATCCTCTTCTATCTGTTTCCTCTCTTTCTCCAATCTTCGTCTCTCGTGCCAATTGAGATTCTTTAACTTCTTCCGTGATGGTTCAACGATTACAGTTTTCTTTTCAGATTCCTGCAAAAGCATTCAAGATGATCAATCTAAACACAGAAAATAAACGAAATTTTGCAGATCTCGTGATCAATTAGACGAATATGGACTCAGGAGCTTGACAGTAATGGACATAAATATCGAAGAAGTTGAAAACTTTTGTCCAGAAGATACCTTTCTTTTGGAGGTCTGGGTAAGTTCCTGAGGAATAAACTGAGAAAGGTCTCCCATGTAGTCATCATCTTCTTCTTTCGCTGCTTCTCCTCCAAGCCCAGTCAGATTTCTCGTCGATTCTGCCATTGCCGACGGAGCTTGGGTTAGCGCAGAGAGAAAGAAAAGATAACCATTAATGGGCTTTAGTTAGGCCCAATAATACTACTATCTGGACCCTAATTTGGGCTTTCTCGCTTCTTCTGAGTTCATAGGTAAAATATTCTGAATCTCTTCACTACTGGTGAGCTTTCAAACGTAGGAGTTTAGTTTTGCTCCTACTCCTACATTATTTCAAATCTCGGTTTCTCTCTACTTGTAATCCATGCTTAATGTTTTTAAGATCGATGATGTTGCATATTTTCCATCATTTGGGTTCTTCATTTATGTATGTTTGGCTGTGTTCTCCACTAAGTCGTTGTTGCCAATTTTCTTTGTTAGATCACGTTTGACATAAAAAGGATTAAGCTTTATCGGTAGAAGAAAATATCATGGATCCTACTGAAATGAGATACTTGGAAGAGGGAGATGGAGCGATGAACAATCAAAGGTGCTGTCCTCCTGTTTCTACAATAAAATATTTTTGTAGTTTCTGCAAATATGAGAAATGTCTGAGCTCAAAAGCTTCGGAAATTTGCTTCTAACATGGTAGCCTAACTCTTGCGTTCGCTTACATCTATGAAGACCAAGACAAGACAATCAAAAAAGTTTTGCTTACAAGTTGTAACTTATAACGATTCAAGTCTTCATGCTCTATTCGGAGATGAGATTTTCAAAAGAGACGGGAACAAAAACGAGAGATCGAAGAAATGTCAAAGAAACAAAAGCAGAAATCAAGAAAATAATAATCTAAAGGAAAGCTTTAAGGGAGTTATTCTGTGCAGATAAGTTACGTGGTGCGTATTGGTTCCAAACTACAAATCACTGAATCAGGCTGATTTCTCCTTTTTTTCTTCTTCTTTTTTTTTTGGTCTTTGAGGGTTTCTTCAGTAGCAATATGCCAAATATGATCGAGGGAGCTCTACAGGAACGACACATTTTCCGCTTGGTCTATTATTCTTTTTAGTCACCTTGTAGGCAGTATAGTTGCCTTATATTTCCAGATGCTGTTAAATATGCATAAAAAGCACAGAGACAAAGTCAAAACCTAATGAATGATGCACATAAATAAAGTAGTGTAGGGATCGATTCATAAAAAAAGTTCGTACCGTAAAGCCAATCTTTGAAATAAACATGGAGTGCACTTGATAGCTCTCGTTTCCGGTTTTCTTCCAAAGGCGCTTCTTTTAACGATCGTCTTGTTTCTTCGAAGTTCTTAAGCTGATGATACAAAAAATGGGGTTACGAGATCAGATTTCGACAAAGACAACAAGTACATTTGTTATTTGGTTTCATACTAAAATCAAAACATACGTTTCTCTGCTGAGCTGCCATATAAGTATCTGGCAATGGAAATGGATTGTCTTTCGTCGAACCAGTCTCCTCGCCGCTAAACCAGTTTGGGATCTGCACCATAGTCATTGATACCATAGATAAAGACGTCATTAGATGCTTCATGAAAAGCATTCACCAGTTATTGGCGTAAAAATTAGAGCAAAAAATATTAATATACCAAAAAGTTAACGAACTGGTCAGGGTCTACAGAAGCAGCTGATTCAGCCTGTGCATCAGCAACACCGGCAGGGTGTGACAGTGAGTCATGTGGGTCTACTGCTCCCAGAGCCAATGGTTTGTCCCATTTGTTGATTGTTGGCTCAACCCCTACCTCACCCATGTGCTCTTCCAAATGAGAGTAAAATGTATTATATGGAGCGACCTGAAACAAAGTCAAATTGATGCCATCACTTTAAAACAACAGAAGCTCATAATCACTAGAAGCAATATCTGACAATGCCCACATTCTTAAAAACCAGTAAAACCTTATTGAGAAAGCATCTGACTAAAGGTATCTATAAATGATCTTTCTACAATGCCATAAGTAATGAGATAGACAACCCCTCCAAGTTTGTTTCCACTAGACTCAATGACGTGTCCGAAACGGCTTATTAACCTAACTAAAGCTAGCGAGAAGTCTAGCCACATAACAAATTTTACCTTAATACCAGAAATGTAAATAAGAGCAGCATGACATAAAGCTTGTAAATTAACCCTCAATCTTAAAGAGAAGCTTCACCTGTAGTTTGTGGTTATCACCAACAATAAGTGGTCGCTGATTGACTCCCAAGAAGAATACACATTCACGACAATTGGCAATGCACACTCGTTTGGCAGCTACAATCACATGAACTCTCTCACAGTGCTCAACTTTTAATGCCTGCAGAAATAAATAAGGAAATATGTTTGCTACATCTTCTCGTAAAAGTTGGCAGATATTCTAACTTGTTAAATGTTGCTTTGACTATCTCCGAAAACGATAAAGAAGGAAGAAGCATTGTTTCCATACTTTGCCAACAGCTCCCAAAACTATAGTAGTATCAGAACATCCGTGCACAGTTGCATATCGCAATGGTGCTAAAAGATAAATTACAGAATCATGGCAATTGACAACCTGCAAAATACACAAAACAAGGAGTTGACATGCGTGCACAGAGACTCCATGACTGGAAGAAAAAATGGAACAAGGAACAGTCAGACCTTCACAGATCTACCCCTTAGATCGGAGGCCTGCTTAACAAGTGAAGTCTTGGAGACTCCCTCGATTAAACACGGGCCTCTAGTACTAGGTGCAACCTTGTTCGGAGCAGCACAAACATCTGACATCGCATCATCTTGATCGTTAGAAGGTCCATTCTCTTTTCCAGAAATTCTCTCAGTAATGCTTTCTAAAGCGGAAGCTATGTTTTGCAGAAGCCAGTCATGCACTTGGGAAGCGGGGACTGGAACAGCAGGCATATCCGGATCAGAATTTGCAAAAAAAGGAGTAGCTTGGCTCAATGGAGATACATCAGATCCCTTATCACCAAACTGAACAAGAAAACCCAGGTGCTCGAAAGCCTCCATAGAGAGAACCTGAAGGATATTGGACAAGCAAAAAATTAACTTGTGTTCTATTTCAGTTCCTGAAATATTCTTATCCCAACATCAGAATTTTATATTCTTGTACCGTAGAACAATGACATCCCCTGAGAAAATAAGAAAGATTAGAACTTACCAATGATTCATCTCCTTCTCCCTCCACAGGCTCTGCAAGGAGAGAAATGATGTTTGCTAAATGTTTTTGCAAATATGACAACTGATGAGCTTCATCATCTGCTTGTGATGGCATAAATCGACGGCTGTTGCTGCGAACAAGCTGCAGAAATGATGAAGAGGGGATATAATTAACAATTTTAGTTCCAATAAAGTTGTTTTGACTCATGTGATGGGAAACGATAACATACCAAAGAACAGTGACTGTTGAAAACACTGAAAAGCTTAAGATTATATGACTGTTTTCTACAAGACTCAATAGACCAGCCATACCAAAAACAGGAACCAGAAATTCAGAATACACAGGACTGGAGACTGAGTCAAATACAAGAACACACCTAGCAGGCTAGCACTATCGCCAAATAAACCACGTGGAAGGACCAACCAAAATAAGGGACTACGGAACAAGAATCAGATTCCAAACCACAAAACAAAGCAAGCTGACGAGTGTTTAACTCTTAGTTTGTAGACTTACCATTACCCCAGAGTCATCAAAGAAAAGGGACTGGCAATTAAAAGAGGAGAATACGGAGAATATTACCCGAATAAAAAAAAAGATACAAAGCCATCCTTTCAGCAAAGATTCATCATACATGTATTATGTAGTGATACTTAAAGTAACATACTTCAGCAACATTAACATTAGCATGCTTACTTGATGCACCTTCTAAGTCAATATGTGAATACAAGCATCTTCCCAATTGAGTATTGGTACCAACAGATATCGAGAAACTATATCCACCATCAATCAATGAAACACCCAAATTTCTGACATTGCTTAACTCTAAGTTTCAGGTAAATCAAATGAACTTGCATTGCAAATTTCAATTAAATCCATTGCAAAATGGAAATAAGTTTATTCTCTACCACGTTCCAATTCCATACTCCAGTACAACAGTTCCATTTCAATACCAAACAAAACGTAGGCGCTGGGATAGTTGGATATGTTTTGAGGCACATTATAAAAAGAAGGCCAAAAAAAGTAAGAAACTTGCCTGAATTGGCGATAACGCAGACAAGTATCCATCAAAAGCTGAAGTCGAGGGCCATACATCAGCCACCGCTGCGGAGTCCTTATGCGTCCTAGGAAGCAACTTCTTATACGATTGAATGTAGAGGAACAAAATTAGATCCCGCAAATCAGCTCCGACAGAATCAACTTCCTCAGGTTTCGCCCGAACCAGAGGGTCAGACTCGGAATGAAGCACCGAACCGAGAGTCTCGAGAACGAGACGCGCATGGTCGCCGGAGATCTGGAGAACGTCGGCGATTACAGCCGATCCAACGCGGTTATTAGAAGCGGCATCGGCTAGCTTCTGCTTGACAGGTGCTAAGGTTTGGATCGGGTCGGTAAAAACGAGCTTCTGGATCGGGAGGAGTCCGTGCTCGAAAGAGACACGCCTCGGATGGATTACTGAATTCGGATTCGGGTTTGGTTCAGGGTCGGGTGCTGAAGGCGGTGGTGATTGGTCGATGAGGTCTTGTTCTTCAGTCATGATTGATTCGTGGCGCGAGGTCGAGAGACAGAGAGAGGAGAGATAGAGATAGAGAGAGACTGGTCCGGTGGTGAAGCTGCAGATCTTTCTTTGGCTGACGAATCATTTCATTGAAGGAGAAGCGAAGAGAGAGAGATGGTTACAGTGTGTGCACGTGTACGTTAGTAACGTACGCTTCGTTTCTTTTTGGTCGTTGGATTTAGTAGTAGATTAACCTTTGATCTGAGCTATGACACGTCAGATGAAGTTAAGTAAAGAGGCCCATTTGAGAATTGAATGCAAGTCGCATTTAATTTTTAGTTAGGCCATTATTGCAATAAGTTAGGTGATAAACGTTCGTCAAAAGAAAAAAAGGTGATAATCATAACTCATAATTAGGTTTTAGAAAAGGGAAATATTTTACTTGGTTACCTAAAAACTTGTAAGTTTGTCACTGTTACTTAATATTGTTAGAGGTTTACTAGAAAACAAAATATTCTTTC